AAATCTTAAAAGAAAGAAGATTTCACAACAAATATCCAAAAGAAAAAAGACTTTACAACACCACTTTCTCAATCCTTTGAAAATGAATCCAACAGTCTCTGAAAGTCTTTACAACGGTCCTGTTCTTAATACCACCGAACAACCTGACCCTGTTAATCAATGCTCTATCATGTGAAAGAAGCAAAAAACGAAATCCGTCTCGTCCTGTTTTTTTACGGACTTTTTTTTTCCTAGTCGGCCATCTTTCTTAACCGTCACATTCCTCTCAATTCCTCAATTTCCCTATTAACCTTAATGATGATAGAAATATCTTATAATATTTTAATCAATGTATCTTGTGTTTAATCAATGTACTGTATTTTGATTTTCTCTAATAAATTATATTCTTTTAATTAAATGAAATGAATTTTTTTTCTGTTTAAATTGGTAAAATTATTAATAATTAACATATGAAAGAGAATTTTTATTCCTCAAAGTAAAATGGACAAAGTATAGAGAAGATTCTATAATATTAAATATAATTTGGTAATCTCATCTAGATATAAAAATAAAAAATCACGCATCTACATAATTTTCTTTAAGTGCAGATTATAAAAAACTGATGTACTATACCTGATACGTATTTCGTACATACGTACGTACGTATGTGAGTACTTGGATATCACCTTTTTTAGCCATAAAGATAATCAATCACACGAATAATGTAATCGAAACGGTGTCCATTATTTAAATACACATCCTGAATAAGGAAATTAAAGTTTCTAGACTCTCTCCGTACGCACATACGAAAATTGGGATCCATAATCGCTTGACTTTTGTTAAAAAAATCACAATGCCATTTTGTCAAATTTGCGTATGATAAATTTGATACGTATTGATATTTGTAAAGAAATCAGATCCAAAATCGTATGTGACATTTTAAGATGTACTACAGTAGATAGTAAACTTTCGATATATTGAAGATTAATTAAAAATCTTAAGGTTAATAATGTATATAAATTCTCTCGATATTGTGAAAATTTTATTAATAGAACTATAACTGATAAATTCACTATAATGAAAGTGATTTGTATATTTCTTGACGCTTAATAATGGAACTTTTTAATTTTTAAGTTCAAAATTAAAAATTAATAATAATTTTTAACCATTTAATAATTAAAATCTATTCGATGTATAGAAGGTATCGATAGAATGATATCAGCGAGTAATTATGAAATAAGCATCTTAAGAATTATTTTTATGTGAATAATAATAGTTCTTAAGTACTCAAATAAACTGAAAGCAAATTATTCAAAGTGATTTTTATAGTGAAATGCAATAAATTTAAATTTTGAAATACCTGATAACAGTTCATAGCGATAAAATTTGCCGCTACAAGCTTATTATGCACTCATGTATATAAAAGATTAGTAAAAATCTTAAACAATCTTATTTATACTAAATTTTACAGTTATGTTTAATACTCTGTACACAGCTAAAAAATACTTCAGTATTATGATTCCTTGTAGAATTCAATTTAGAACTTTATTTTTGTCCTATTTTTAAAGAATAGGCTATTGGTAAATTGTTAAATCAAATAATAATATACAATTCAGAAAAATGAATTTATAAAAATGTTAATAGCAGAATGCAAGAGTATATTTTTTTATTTTAACTTTGAACTTCAATGCTTTAACGTGAATTGATTTCTTGATTAAATTTAATTAATACTTTTTTTTTCTAAACAGATAGATCTAAATATTAAAATTTATTTCATGATTTATAACTTGAACTAATTGATAATTAAAAATTTTAAGAGAGAGGAAACTGGTAACTTATTTCGATTACTTGGGGTTTAAGCTTTCTATATAGCTTCGTAATGAGTTGAGCTGAGGAATTTTCCTTGTTCAAAATGAACCTTTTTTTCTACCACGTCTTGATTTTTGAAAATTTGATATCATTTTGATTTCTAATAATATTAACAATATATCG